TTAAAAAAAAAAACCATTCTGGACATACAGCCAAAGGAGTAATAAGAGCTGGTATGTTTCTAAACATTTTGAGAGCAGATTACAGCAGTTCTGTCTGTTTTATAAACCAATGTCTGAGGTGAAGCAGAATTGGTTCATAAAAGAGGGATATTGTAATAAATGGGGCCTGCTCCAGTTGTGAGCTCAGCTGTTGGAAAGGGACTGAAAATTCATAAAATGTCACAATCATCAATAGCAATAAATGTGGATAGAAAACTGGTTTCAGAGTAGCAGCCGTGTTAGTCTGTATCCGCAAAAAGAACAGGAGTACTTGTGGCACCTTAGAGACTTTCGTGGACTACAGCCCACTTATGCATTCGAAGAAGACTGGGAGTCAGACTGAATTAGTCCAAACTGAAAGGTCCAGTACCAGCTAAGGGCTGTGTTAAGATCATGACTGGTAAACAAGGAAGAAGGAACCAGGAACTAATGAACTAATGAACCAGGAACTAATGAACCAAACAAAACACCAAGGACAGCTGGAGTGAACGGAACAAGCTTCACCATCATGGCTGTCACCCCCACTACTTCCTGGGGGCCCTGGTTCCACCATGACACTGCTGAGCCTTTATCCTCCTGATTCTGCGAGATGGCCTGACCAAACTGGGCCAGAAAGAGGGAACCAGAGGACATCCCCACCTCCGCCAGCTTCAGATCAATCCTGAACACCACCTGGAATGAGAGACGTGGGTTCCTGCTGCTTTTTACATCTGATAGAAAGCCAGTGCAGTATTTTATATGACATTCTTATAGACAATCTTCCATATTCCCAAAATAGATCAAAAGTATGGGCCCCATCCTCCACCAACTGAACTTCCATTGTCTTTAGTGGGTCAGGATTGAATCCTATATTAATATAGATATAAATGTGTGCAGGTAAAATGCAGAGGAACAAATTCTCTCCCCCAGTACACTGGTGTAACTTTACTGAGGTTAACATGTAGGGCTGCATTCTACTCTCAGTCAGTTATTGCTTTGCTGTAAAGGGGAAAAAATTTAAAAAAGTAATCCTTGATCTACGATATATGGATAAACTACATCTCATAAGTATTTATTGATCCCATTCCTCTGTGGACAAATAAAGAAAGTGGTTGAGAGCAAGGGGAATATGTGAAGAAGAAAGATGAGAAAGGGGGGGGGGGGAAGAGAAGAGAACATAAAAAAAAAAATAATAGAACGTAGTGGCGTAAGACTTCCCTCTTCTCAACACAGATGTAAATTAGATTCAATATCTTCAAGCCAAGGGCACTAACGTTATTGATATATAGAATCCAGTACTGTCCT